TTAACGCCGAGTAGATCCAAGGGAGCAGAAATCAGACTGGGGTCGCCGTGTTTGTAGCGCAGTGTGCTAAATCACTGCGCCACCTCTCGCCACTGCGTCACAAACACACGGACAGGCAACACGCACAAATACACGCACCCCTCGCTCTCCCTCCGACAGTCGGTATCTCGTGCCACCTGTCCAAATACACGAGAGGCACCGTACATACACGCAAACGTGTGCGACACGGCAACCAGAAACATGCCAAAGCACACACAATGACCATCACCACCAGCCACAAACGCATACGTGAACCTGGCCTGGTCTCCCCGAGGTGGTGAAAATGCTGCAGTGCGGTCAACGTGAATAACGGGGCTGAGACGACGGCGCGCTACCGTGGTAGGCACTCGACGCCAGCACGGTGCATTCAATCAGTGCTGTGCCACCTCAGTCAGCCCAGTCTCACCCGTCATACTCACTCAGAGCCACACGTCACTCACTCAAAGCCACTCACTCACTCAGAGCCACGTGTCACTCACCCAGAGCCACACACTTACCCAGAGCCACTCACTCACTCACTCAGAGCCACTCACTCACTCACCCAGAGCCACTCACTCACTCACCCAGAGCCACTCACTGACCCAGAGCCACTCACTCACTCACTCAGAGCCACTCACTCACTCACTCACCCAGAGCCACTCACTGACCCAGAGCCACTCACTCACTCAGAGCCACTCACTCACTCACCCAGCCAGAGCCACTCACTCACCCAGAGCCACTCACTCACTCACCCAGCCAGAGCCACTCACCCAGCCAGAGCCACTCACCCAGCCAGAGCCACTCACCCACCCAGAGCCACTCGCTCACCCAGAGTCACTCACTCACTCACTCACCCAGAGCCACTCACTCACCCAGAGTCACTCACTCACTCACTCAGAGCCACTCACTCACTCAGAGCCACTCGCTCACCCAGAGTCACTCTCTCACCCAGAGCCACTCACTCACCCAGAGCCACTCACTCACCCAGAGTCACTCACTCACTCACTCACCCAGAGCCACTCACTCACTCACCCAGAGTCACTCACTCACTCACCCAGAGTCACTCACTCACTCACCCAGAGTCACTCACTCACTCACCCAGAGCCACTCACCCAGAGCCACTCACTCACTCACCCAGAGCCACTCACTCACCCACAGCCACTCACTCACTCACCCAGAGCCACTCACTCACTCACCCAGAGCCACTCACTCACTCACCCAGAGCCACTCACTCACTCACCCAGAGCCACTCACTCACTCACCCAGAGCCACTCACTCACTCACCCAGAGCCACTCACTCACTCACTCACCCAGAGCCACTCACTCACCCAGAGCCACTCACTCACTCACTCACCCAGAGCCACACACTCACTCACCCAGAGCCACTCACTCACTCACTCAGAGCCACTCACTCACCCAGAGCCACTCACTCATTCACTCAGAGCTACTCACTCACCCAGAGCCACTCACTCACTCACCCAGAGCCACTCACTCACTCACCCAGAGCCACTCACTCACTCACCCAGACCCACTCACTCACTCACTCACCCAGAGCCACTCACTCACTCAGAGCCACTCACTCACTCAGAGCCACTCACTCACCCAGAGCCACTCACTCACCCAGAGCCACTCACTCACCCAGAGCCACTCACTCACCCAGAGCCACTCAGTCACCCAGAGCCACTCACTCACTCACTCACTCAGAGCCACTCACTCACCCAGAGCCACTCACTCACCCAGAGCCACTCACTCACCCAGAGCCACTCACTCACCCAGAGCCACTCACTCACTCACTCACCCAGAGCCACTCACTCACTCACTCACTCACCCAGAGCCACTCACTCACTCACTCACTCACCCAGAGCCACTCACTCACTCACTACTCACTCACCCAGAGCCACTCACTCACCCAGAGCCACTCACTCACTCACCCAGAGCCACTCACTCACTCACTCAGAGCCACTCACTCACCCAGAGCCACTCACTCACTCACCCCAGAGCCACTCACTCACTCAGAGCCACTCACTCACTCACCCCGCTAGCCACTCACTCACCCTGCTAGCCACTCACTCACCCCGAGCCACTCACTCACTCACCCAGAGCCACTCACTCACTCACCCAGAGCCACTCACTCACCCAGAGCCACTCACTCACTCACCCAGAGCCACTCACTCACTCACTCACCCAGAGCCACTCACTCACTCACCCAGAGCCACTCACTCACTCACCCAGAGCCACTCACTCACTCACCCAGAGCCACTCACTCACTCACTCAGAGCCACTCACTCACTCACCCAGAGCCACTCACTCACTCACCCAGAGCCACTCACTCACTCACCCAGAGCCACTCACTCACTCAGAGCCACTCACTCACCCAGAGCCACTCACTCACTCACCCAGAGCCACTCACTCACTCACTCACCCAGAGCCACTCACTCACTCACTCAGAGCCACTCACTCATTCACCCAGAGCCGATCACTCACTCACTCACTCACCCAGAGCCACTCACTCACCCAGAGTCACTCACTCACCCACAGCCACTCACTCACTCACCCAGAGCCACTCACTCACTCACCCAGAGCCGATCACTCACTCACTCACTCACTCACCCAGAGCCACTCACTCACCCAGAGTCACTCACTCACCCACAGCCACTCATTCACTCACCCAGAGCCACTCACTCACTCACCCAGAGCCACTCACTCACTCACCCAGAGCCACTCACTCACCCAGAGTCACTCACTCACCCACAGCCACTCACTCACTCACCCAGAGCCACTCACTCACCCAGAGCCACTCACTCACCCAGAGCCACTCACTCACCCAGAGCCACTCACTCACTCACCCAGAGTCACTCACTCACCCACAGCCACCCACTCACTCACCCAGAGCCACTCACTCACCCAGAGCCACTCACTCACTCACTCACCTAGAGCCACTCACTCACCCAGAGCCACTCACTCACCCAGAGTCACTCACTCACCCACAGCCACTCATTCACTCACCCAGAGCCACTCACTCACTCACCCAGAGCCGATCACTCACTCACTCACTCACCCAGAGCCACTCACTCACTCACCCAGAGCCACTCACTCACTCACTCACCCAGAGCCACTCACTCACTCACCCAGAGTCACTCACTCACCCACAGCCACTCACTCACTCACCCAGAGCCACTCACTCACCCAGAGCCACTCACTCACTCACTCACCTAGAGCCACTCACTCACCCAGAGCCACTCACTCACCCAGAGTCACTCACTCACCCACAGCCACTCATTCACTCACCCAGAGCCACTCACTCACTCACCCAGAGCCGATCACTCACTCACTCACTCACCCAGAGCCACTCACTCACTCACCCACAGCCACTCACTCACTCACCCAGAGTCACTCACTCACTCACTCACCTAGAGCCACTCACTCACCCAGAGCCACTCACTCACCCAGAGTCACTCACTCACCCACAGCCACTCATTCACTCACCCAGAGCCACTCACTCACTCACCCAGAGCCGATCACTCACTCACTCACTCACCCAGAGCCACTCACTCACTCACCCAGAGCCACTCACTCACTCACTCACCCAGAGCCACTCACTCACCCAGAGCCACTCACTCACCCAGAGCCACTCACTCACTCACCCAGAGTCACTCACTCACCCACAGCCACTCATTCACTCACCCAGAGCCACTCACTCACTCACTCACCCAGAGCCACTCACTCACTCACTCACCCAGAGCCACTCACTCACTCACTCACCCAGAGCCACTCACTCACTCACTCACCCAGAGCCACTCACTCACCCAGAGCCACTCACTCACTCACCCACAGCCACTCACTCACTCACCCAGAGCCACTCACTCACTCACAGCCACTCACTCACTCACCCAGAGCCACTCACTCACCCAGAGCCACTCTCTCACTCACCCAGAGCCACTCACCCAGAGCCACTCACTCACTCACTCACCCAGAGCCACTCACTCACTCAGACCACTCACTCACTCACCAGAGCCACTCACTCACTCACCAGAGCCACTCACCCAGAGCCACTCACTCACTCAGAGCCACTCACTCACCCAGAGCCACTCACTCACTCAGAGCCACTCACTCACCCAGAGCCACTCACTCACCCAGAGCCACTCACTCACTCACCCAGAGCCACTCACCAGAGCCACTCACTCACTCACCCAGAGCCACTCACTCACTCACCCAGAGCACCACTCACTCACCCAGAGCCACTCACTCACTCACTCACCAGGTGAGCCACTCACTCACTCACTCACCCAGAGCCACTCACTCACCCAGAGCCACTCACTCACCCAGAGCCACTCACTCACTCACCCAGCGCCACTCACTCACCCAGAGCCACTCACTCACCCAGAGCCACTCACTCACCCAGAGCCACTCACTCACCCAGAGCCACTCACTCACCCAGAGCCACTCACTCACCAGGTGAGCCACTCACTCACTCACCCAGAGCCACTCACTCACTCACCCAGAGCCACTCACTCACTCACCAGAGCCACTCACTCACTCACCAGGTGAGCCACTCACTCACCCAGAGCCACTCACTCACCCAGAGCCACTTACTCACTCACTCACTCACCCAGAGCCACTCACTCACTCAGAGCCACTCACTCACCCAGCGCGACTCACTCACCCAGAGCCACTCACCACTCACCCAGAGCCACTCACTCACTCAGAGCCACTCACTCACCCAGAGCCACTCACTCACCCAAAGCCACTCGCTCACTCACCCAGAGCCACTCACTCACTCACTCACCCACCCAGAGCCACTCACTCACCCAGAGCCACTCACTCACTCACCCAGAGCCACTCACCCAGAGCCACTCACTCACTCACTCACGCAGAGCCACTCACTCACTCAGAGCCACTCACCCACCCAGAGTCACTCACCCAGAGCCACTCACTCACCCAGAGCCACTCACTCACCCAGAGCCCCGCGTCACCGTACTCACTCAGAGCCGGCGGCCATGGCTCGCTCGTGCCGGGCCTGCTCGCCGAGGGAGGCGCGTCGCAGCAGCAGCAGCGCCGTTGTCGTGCCCGCGGTGGCGGCGCTGGCGCTGGCGATGACGCTGGCGCTGGCGGCGGTGTTCCCGGCGGCGCTGATCGCGGCGACCGTCGTGGCCGCGTGGCCGTCGCTCGCCGCCTGGGCGCGTGGCTGTCGCGAGCCACTCGCACGCCGCCTCATGGCGAGCGCCGGGGGGCAGGCGCGTCTCCCAGCGCGGAGCGGACGCCATCGGACATCTCACCCAGCGGCGGCGGCAAAGTCGGCAAAGTCGGCAAAGGCGGCAAAGTCGGCGAAGTCGTCGAAGGCGGCACGGCCACGGGGTCCCCGGCCCGGCCGCCTCTCGCGCTCCTGCACGCACGGAAGGTCGGGGGGGGGGGGGGGACGACTTCAGACTCCGAAGCCATCGACCTCGGCGGCACGCGGTGGGGCCTCCACCGTGCCAAGAAGCAGTAGCAAGGCTACGTCAGCCAGCCGATCGTTGCACACAAGGGGCACACTGAAAGTTTCAGACCAAAGAGTTGGAAATTAGGCAGTTTAACTTAAAACCCGAATGCATTAGGAGGGGTTTATTCTGGCAGTGACTGGCAACAGGGCTGAGAACATAAACTCATGAACTCGCTGGACTTGAGAGCCTGGTTTCATCACAACTCGGTCTATGTGAGTCTACGGGTCTCTATGCGAGTCTATGGGTCGAGATGTGAGTCTATGGGTCTCTATGTGAGTCTATGGGTCGAGATGTGAGTCTATGGCAGAGGTCGCAACCGGGTACCCGATACCCGTACCCTACCCGATACCCGGCTACCCATACCCGACCGGGCACGGGTACCCGTTTGCGACCCTGGTGCGGCCGGGTACGGATAGGCCGTTAGTCACTGGTGAGTAACCGTTTGTCACTCATTTCCCAACGTCTTGTCTCTTCTCACAATTCAAGTTCCTAGAATCAACCCACCCGCGCCTGCAACATGGCTTCATCCCAGAGGTCGCAATCGGGTACCCGATACCCGTACCCTACCCGATACCCGGCCGGGTACGGTTAGCCGGGTATCGGGTAGGGTACGGGTAGCCGTTTGCGACCCTGGTGCGGCCGGGTACGGGTAAGGAATCAAAACCCGTTTGCGACCTCTGGTCTATGGGTCTCTATGTGAGTCTATGGGTCTCTATGTGAGTCTATGGGTCTCTGTGTGAGTCTACGGGTCTCTATGGGAGTCTATGGGTCTCCATGTGAGTCTATGGGTCTCTATGCGAGTCTATGGGTCTCTATGCGAGTCTATGGGTCTCTGTGTGAGTCTATGGGTCTCTGTGTGAGTCTACGGGTCTCTATGTGAGTCTATGTGTCTCTATGCGAGTCTATAGGTCTCTGTGTGAGTCTGTGGGTCTCTATGAGAGTCTACAGGTCTCTATGTGAGTCTTCGGGTCTCTATACGAGTCTATCGGTCTCTATATGAGTCTACGGGTCTCTGTGTGAGTCTACGGGTCTCTGTGTGAGTCTATGGGTCTCTATGCGAGTTTATGGGTCTCTATGCGAGTCTATGTGTCCCTGTGTGAGTCTATGGGTCTCTATGCGAGTTTATAGGTCTCAGTGTGAGTCTACGGGTCTCTATGAGAGTATATAGGTCTCTATGCGAGTCTATGGGTCTCTATGCGAGTCTATGTGTCTCTATGCGATTCTATGGGTCTCTATGCGAGTCTATGTGTCACTGTGTGAGTCTATGGGTCTCTATGCGAGTTTATAGGTCTCAGTGTGAGTCTACGGGTCTCTATGCGAGTCTACGGGTCTCTATGCGAGTCTACGGGTCTCTATGCGAGTCTACGGGTCTCTATGCGAGTCTACGGGTCTCTATGGTGACCAGGCTGAGACCATCACCTCACTGCAATGAAGAACTCGTTTTAGTCAAAGCCAGCCTATGAGTGGCACCAACTTATTCACTCTGACCTCTGACCTCACCGGCCACCTCTGCACAAGTGTCACCTCGCGTTTCTGTTTGTTTTCGTGCTAAGAGCACTTTTGAGGACAGCGCTGCATTGCAATGTTTGGATGTATTGTCGCTCGTCTACCCCAGGGCAGCCCCACCGAGCCTGAAGACTCGTTTCCAGGAGGGTCCTGCCAAGTTTGTCGGAGTAGCGGGTGATGCTGCAGCTGCGTGTAATCCCAATTGAGTAATTTGCATGACATTTTTCAGCATTGGGAAGTTTCGCTAATTCCCGTTAAACTGTACGCTTTTTATAGCTATGAGAGGAAACCCACGCAGAACAGGGGGCGAGAGAAGATACAAACGCCACACAGACCGGCACCCGAGTCGAAAATCGAACCCAGGCACTTGTGTTACCACTGCGCCAACTCTGCCACCCAAAGATTGTGCGACACGCAGGAGGAAGTTGGAGCACCTGGAGAACACCAACACAAACGAGAGGGGGTAACGCCAGAGGTCGCAATCGGGTACCCGATACCCGGCTACCCGTACCCGGCCGGGTACGGGTACCCGTTTGCGACCCTGGTGCGGCCGGGTACGGGTAGACCGCGAGTCACTGGTGAGTCACCGTTTGTCACTCATTTCCCAACGTCTTGTCTCTTCTCACAATTCAAGTTCCTAGAATCAACCCACCCGCGCCTGCAACATGACTTCATCCCAGAGGTCGCAATCAGGTACCCGATACCCGTACCCTACCCTACCCGGGTACGGGTACGGGTAGGGTACGGGTACGGCCGGGTACGGGTACCCGTTTGCGACCCTGGTGCGGCCGGGTACGGGTACGGGTAAGGAATCAAAACCCGTTTGCGACCTCTGGGTAACGCTCAAAAGTTCCGCACAGATGGGGCTCAATCCATTTGCTTTACTCCATCGCCGCCCGAGTCTTCAACACACTGAACTCCCAAGTGTCCCGCACGACCGCGATCCAGGAGGCTGAACGCGGCTCAACTTCCAAGTCACGTAGGTAAAACATTTAAATTAATAAAAGTAAAATAAAATAAAAATCACGACGTTTCGGAGGCAACACAAGCTTCCGTCTTCAGGTGGAATTTCTCATTTACTTGATACAGCTATCGTGCTGTGACGGTTCCACCTGAAGACGGAAGCTTGTGTTGCCTCCGAAACGTCGTGATTTTTATTTTATTTTTATTTTACTTTTATTAATTTTTATTTTTTACCTACGTGACTTTACCGAAAAAACCAAAGAGTATGAATCCTTGCAGTCACGAAAGCTTCAAATCTAGAATCGACTTCCGAGCTTCGACGCGGTCGGCCACGCTCGGGGTCTCGTGGCACGTGGGCTGTGCTCGCCAGTAACCGACAGGAGCTTCCGGTCCGTCTCATCAGCAGGGCGCGACGCAATCAACAACGTGGCTGTCCGACCGACCTTAGGGGCACAGGTGAATCCGTGACCTCGGAAGATCACGGGGTAGAAATTTCGGCGCGGGGGCAACCGGGATTTGAACCCAGGGACTCAAGTTTATCGACACGGGAGGGATGACGGTCTGTGGAGAGACCTGGGCAATGATTTAAACTGTCCGCCCGCGTGGTGCGGGACGCTGCGAGCTCAGCCGGCCGAGCCAACGAGATTGTCTCATTCATGCTCCGTCATCTCCTACGACGGAAACGAGGGGCTCCACTGGAAACCCATCCAAATAGTTCCGGTGGTAAAGCCAGACCGCCCGCATTCATCACCCGCTTTCGCTCACAGCGGGGCAGGCGGGGCGGGAGGCGGAGGAGCAGTAGTCAGCGCATTGCGCTATAAACCCAGCGCCACAAACATTATTCTGGGTCACGGCGAACGTGAGCGACGAGCGATATCTGTTCCGGTCCTGGGTTCCCCTCGCGCACACAAACCCGCCGCTGGCCAGCGCGGTGAAGTATTATCAAACAACGGCTCGGGCGGCAATCATCGCCGCCCCCCCCCCGCCTCCTGGTAGACTAATGCCCGCTGGTAGGCCAGGTCCCAAGTTGGCTTGTGCAAAATAAGTAATATTTTAAAAAACTTTTTTTTTTTTAAACACGCTTTTATGAAATGTACTAGTAATGGCAGAACTCCACAACTCAGGAAGTGGCCCCGAAACTTGCCATAACTTAAGGGACCGTGGCCAATTACAGCCAACGTCAGTTGAACGTGGATAATTAGACCCAAGATGAAACATAACATAAAAAAAGATGGTTTAAAAATATTTTTGTTATTTTTAATGATAGATTATAGTATGTCATCAGTATGACATAAGTATACCAAGTTTGCAGTCGATACCACATTGGGAAGTGGGTTAAAATTGAGTTACAAGATTTGAGGATACGACAACAACAGTGAGTTAATAGAAAGCGTGTAAAAAGATGGTTTAAAAATATATTTTAATTTTTTATGATAGAATATGGTATTGTCATCAGTATGACATAAGTATACCAAGTTTTCAGTCCATACCACATTGGGAAGCGGGTTAAAATTGAGTTACAAGATTTGAGGATACGACAACAACAACAGACAGAGTGAGTTAAATAAAAGCGTGTAAAAATAAAAAGGGCGAGCTGTCATAGGACACAAATGTGTCGAGGTGAGATGAGATCTCAAACGCTGCAAGGCACCCCGGCGAATAGGCGGACGCGATATCAAAAACACAGATCGTGACGTCACGATCTGTGTCGGCCCACGTGGAAATCAATTCTTGAGGATCGAGGCATTGGTGCACGTCCCCTGTTTACAGCCCCTGAGCCAGTGATGGAAATTCCACATTCTTATGGCGGGGAGCGAGTTCCTCCAACAGTACGGAGACCAATGCCAAGTCCACAGTGGTACTCTCATTTTATCGATGCCGGAGGGATGATTGGCTGAGTCAACCCCCAAGCGGGGTTTGAGTTCAGAGCCCCTCCCATTGCGAGCCGCAGAGCCACCTGGCCCCGGCAAGGCAAGGTAATTTACCCTTTTTACCGGGTAAATGGGTAAAGGTGTCGAAATGCCAAGAGGTAAGGTAAAAGGTAGGGTAAAGGTAGCTCGGAAGAATCACCCGGTAGGGTAAAGGTAGCTCGGAAGAATTACCCGGTAGGGTAAAGGTAGCTCGGAAGAATCACCCGGTAGGGTAAAGGTAGCTCGGAAGAATTACCCGGTAGGGTAAAGGTAGCTCGGAAGAATCACCCGGTAGGGTAAAGGAAGCGCGAAGTATTACCCGGTAAATACGGTACCTTGTTTAACGCTAAAAGCTCCGTGGCGCAGTCCGTGGCCTCCATTTAATAAGTAATATTAAAACAAACTTTTTTTAAAACACGCTTTTATTAAATGTACCAGTAATGGCAGAACTCCACGACTCCAGCAAGTGGCCCTGAAACTTGCCATAACGTAAGGGACCGTGGACAATTAGACCCAAGCCGAAA